AATTTCTAGAAAATCTTCATTTAAACTGTCATTTTTCGTATGATTCAAATTTTGTGATGATTAATGTAAATGTTTGTGAGAATTTGCGAAAAACCTTCAATGCAAAATAAAATTATTTCTATGGGTTTTGGATAAAAATATCTTGTGGATTAGTGTAACCATTTTACAATTAAAAAAAAAAAAAGAAGAAGAAAACTAAAATTATATACGTGAAAAAGATCAAATATTAATTTTTACATCTAACTCAAAAATAAACAGAGAAATTAAAGAATATCAAACAATGTGTGTATTTTGAGAACTGTTTCAGAATTTTGAACTAATATGCTTATAAATCTCTCATTTTGATCAGTTATTAAAAATATCTGCAGTTTGGTTTTGTTGAATAAAATTTATAGAAATCACTGAAAATTAGAAAACATCATTTGAAGATATATTTTGCACAAATTTTAACTTTTAATTGTATTTTGGTTTTGTTTGTTAATATTTATAAATTATACATTCTCATTTCTATTTCAGGTAAGAAATATTTCATTTATATCTGGTGAAAGAAATATGGAACATTTACAGTTCATTCTTTCTAAAGTATGTATAATTTGATTCATAAAAATTATTTATCTTTAGGCATTTATAAACTGGCTTTCCACCAAGACAACACCGCAGCTGTTCACAACTGGTTCATATTCCTTATCCCTGTGTCACAACAAATTAGCTTTAAGAAATGGATCTAAAGTTATGTTTTAAAAGCATAAATTCATCTCTTGAAAATTCAACATATAATTATGAACTCAATTTTTGAACATTTTTATTACCGCTTTCTTAAAATTAGAATTAATCATACAAAAATTGCTGGAAAAGTTTTCTGTATATTTGTCTATAAAACAGCCTTTCTTATAAAGGAACTATGTAGAAAGGCTATGAGTGTTTTAGTACACTTCGTGTACTTGACATATACATTGTAGACTTTTAAGAAAATTATTAGAAATTAACAGAAGGTTTCAGATGATTTTTAAGATTTAAGATAACAATGCAATATGAAATAAAATACCAGAAAATTGTATTCAAAATTATTTCTAAAGATTATTTTAAAGAAAGATAATTTTTATTAAGTTAAATGCAGGTCTAATTAAATTACATTTAGGATTTATTCAAGCATTCTTTGGTTTTAATATTTGCTTTTCACTTCAGAATACGTCTCTAAATTCTCCACCCCACTCAGTCGAATGAACGAAGCATAATTTGTTTTTAACTCCACAAAGTAACACTGCAAGAAAATGAAACTGGCACACAACAACACGATTTCGAATAATTTATTTCAAATTCAATTCTGTTCCTAACGAACTTTTGAGAACAAATTCCCCTAGACGAGTTTTTTCTCTCTTTCCAATTGTGATGAAGTGATCAGAGCAGTGTAGGTTCAATATAACTATTGTTAGAGTGAAAAGGAAATAAAACTAAAGCTGATCCTGTCTTCTAAAGTGTCATCTGATTATTGCAATGCTCTCTCGAGATCAGAATAAGGTGGATTAATATAATTGAATTCCTTTGTTTGAGCTTAGCAATTCTTGACGAAGCAAATTCTTCAGACTAATGGGAAATGATCTATCAGTTTAATTGAATTCTCATTTAAATGTGATCTGTAAGAATTTTCTGAAGTGTTTCATGTTCTCTAAGCCAGAGGTTTTTGCGGCAGCAGCCGCAAGCCCACTACTTCCTCGACAAAAAATTATTGAGGACTGATTGCAAAATAATTTTAAAATTTTTAATTGTTAAGTAATTAACTAACTGTGATATATGTAGGAAAGAATATGTACAACGTAATTTTGAACTCCAGATAATCGAAATTCAGTTATCCTAACCGCTGGTTTTCTTTTCTAGTTCTTGCTATTATTTACCTAGGCGAATAAAAACTACCTTTCATTGATTTAAATAATATGAAAAGCTAATGCTAATGCAGAGCAACACCTATTTTAATTATGTTAATTGAATGTGCAAAGTCTATTTTAGTTAACAAGTTATACTTTATGCTGAATCATTATTTTATTTCCCTTGTTCCCTTTACTACAGCAGAAAATGTAAATAACATGAGGTTAATAACGAGAACTAGCAGTCTGTATAAGGAATAATCCTGAAGTCTTAAGTACTCAAAATTCATAGAAAGATGTAAGGAACCCTTTATTAACTCAGTATAAATTTCACAGATGGCCCCTAACTCGTACTTACAGAAGTCAGCAATTTTGGCTTAACTCAGAAGGTAACAAGTAAAGTAAAATAAAGTAGAATTTAAATTAGCCTAACTGCCTTTCATAGCTTACCTAACGCGCAGGCAGGCTCTGACTCGTAAAAGTTGGCGTAAACAAGCTTAATGCTTAGAAACCACAGAAATCTAATCGCTAGTAAATCAAAGATAACAACATGGCCTTTCAGGCAGGCATAACATGCAGTAAAGTCACTGTGATGTATGGGTGACGCCAACCAACACGATGTAGAGGGCGCGGGCTCTCAATCTGAAGGCGCCAAAAGCTTAGTTTCCAAGAGGGAGACCGACAGAGAGGTCATAGGGAAGGCTCGTGGGAGCCATAATTGAAACCGAAATTAACTTGTATTACTTTATATATTTCAGTTATTAGTATTGAAGTTTTAGTACTAGTTTTGTCGTGGGAGCCATTAATGGAACCGAAATTAACTTGTATTACTTTATATATTTCAGTTATTAGTATTAGTTTTGTGTTTGTGCAATAAATATTCAAAATACAAGAAGTTGGAGTTTTATCTCTATGAGGCAGAGGATGAAGAAAGGGGTGATATCACAATCATCTTTCCTGAAATACCACTTCTTGAGCTCATTTGAATAATACATGTGAGCTAATTCATTAACATTCTGGTAAGAAAGTGTGGGTTGAAAACGGGAATAAAAGAAAAGGTGCTTTAAAATAAAACTAACTGTTTTATAAATTAAATGAATCCCCCACAACAATTAGCTGGATAGTGTTTTATATTCTTTTTATATTTTGTACTGTATCTTTTAAAAACTCATATTGTTTTATGTACTTGCCGGTTATGGTATTTGGTTGCATGTATTTGCCTATTCTCAATGGATTGTTTTTTATATTTTATACTTTAAATGCATAAAGACCCGAAAGTTCTTTCGAACAACCAGAAACCTAAAAATTTTTATATTTGATATTTTTAAATGCATAATGGCCCAAAAGGTCTTTGACACAACCTGAAACCTGAAAATGTTTAATTAAAAAAAGGTTTCACTCCAATACTTTCCCAGATCTTCCGTCATTCTATTGTAGAGACCGTCAGATCTAATTTTAAATACACCATATTTCTTCGGTGATCTTATTTCGCTCACTAGGTTCGTAGTTCATGCACCGTCACTGGCGATCTGGAATGACAGATATGCGAATTCGGAGAAGACGGATATCATCAATTGTCTTTGCAAGAGCCGCTTAGTCAGCGATCTGAACTATGTGTTAAAAGTATTTGTACTGGTATGTTCTATCATATTCTAGTGTATTCCATAAAATGTTCTTAAATGATAATATTAACATATGGAATTTAATTGGCATTTTAATTTAACAAGAATTAAATGATAATTTTCTTAAACTTAAGTTTTAATAATTAAAACTTTTAGTTCAACGAAACTACCATTCTCTTTATAACAAAGTTATGCAAAGAAAATGTTAGCCAAAATAAAAGATCAATAAATTTTATGCATATTTATTGCACATTTATTTTGCAATGATTGTGTCAGTATGACAATAAAATGTTTTATTGAACACTTAAACAAAAACATTAAATTAATTAAACAAATAAGCAGTCATTGATGTAACTAGTATGTTAATAAGGTTACTTATTTACTAAATAATATATAAACCAGTATAAAAACAGTTTACCTATGTGAAATAGTTTAGGAGTACACTAATTTTGAGAATACTAAGGGGTTACAAAGGGCTCAGATTAATCATATTTGGAATACAGTCACTAGACATAAGCAGCGCAGCTTAATGCGATGATAAACGTGACACAGTTATTAATAGTCACTGTATTCAAAGTTCTGTATTATCGATGCTCAACTATCACATTTTGTGTGGCAAAGTCACAAGTACCTGCACTTTACGTAATCGTAACAAGTTATACATTTCAGCTTAAGCAATAAGTGCATGATTTTTAAAGGATTGAAGAACTTAATGTATTGCTAGCCTTTAGGGATATCTTTCAGTTTATTAAAATTAATATCAGTGCCCTGAAAATCAATTTACCAGGGAAAGTAATTTTTGAACAATGTACGTTTGTTAGTTATTACGTTTTATTTTAGTAATATCTATTCAATGTGCTAAAATTGCAGAATACATAATTGAGAATTCGACGTAAAATAATATCTCATTAAGGTAATTAATCGTAAACGTTCCCACCACTATAACAGAAAAAATGATGTTCCTGGAGATCAGTAATAAATGCGCCACATTTTTCTTAACTCAGTTCCTCGAATTATATAAAATCTACATAGCCATTATATCATAACAGAGAATGTTTATAGCTGAAGAAATTAAAAAGACATGATATCGTAAAGCAGATATTATTCTTTACATCTCAAATAATACGCAAATGTGCCAATTTTGAAATAATGGTGCCGATAATGGATAACTGATCAGTCAATCCTATCACATATTTTACTATAAAAATAACACATAATGTCACACACAATTACAGCATACAATAGTTAATAAACCTTAAGATGAAAAACAACGCATATCTCATTCCACAATTAACATACACATATGAATGGGTAAGTTTACTATTTTTGACATTCTCCCTAATCAAGCTATTAAGCTGATAAAACAAATCTTTAAACCTTCATTTACGGACTTTAAATTAACTAGTCATTATTCAAAATATTCTAATCACTTAGTAGTTTACATATGTAAAATAAATTATTTTCGTCTAAGTAATTTGAAAACATAGAGAGGTAGACAAATTTAAAAATCACTCACAGATTTTCCGCAACATATAATCTTGAATGAAGTGTCCAATTTTTTTCTCGGAGGAAGTCTATTTCCTTGAGCCAACACCTTGATTACAGTTAATAAACTAACACTCGTGCATTGAAGTCCATTCTGCACAAGAATACAGTGTCTCACCAAAGTGATGGTACACTTGTGCTTTACAAAAGGAAACTGTAATAAAAGAAATTTAAAAACATGTAAAAATTTTTTGTGGGTGTGTTTCATACTTAAATTTAATAACAATTATTACATAACATACATTTTCTCAAAATATTAAAATATTAATTTAATAAAAATACAATTGTTTTGAACAGAGCAAAAAACGGCTCACATAAGTGATGGGACACCATTAGATACTACTACGTACTACAATAAAAATATATTTTGGGGTTTTATTTTTACTCAAAAGAAATTGGCAATACTCAAAAGCAATTGGCAATAATTTATAAAATCGTCTGCACTATTTCTCTCCAGTTTGTCTTGGAATTTTTGTGTTTTTTAGCTCTGTGCAGCCATGAATGCTAAACGAAAAGAAACTTTGCCTGAAGTTCGAAAATTAGTTTTTAATTTGCATATTGAACGCAGAAAATCTATTAGAAAAACTGCTGAAACAGTTAACTTGAGTCATTCAACAGTTTTCAATATCTTTAAACGATATAAAAAGAATCATATGATTCAGGATAAAAGAAGACCTGGCCGACCATCAAAGCTATCCAATGGAATAAAGCGAATTATCGTGCGAAATATTAAAAAAAAATCCACGAATGAGTGCTCCTAAAGTTGCTGCTGATTTACAAGCATTATATGGAGTAATTGTTAATCCTGAGACTATTAGAAGAGTAATTTCATCTGCTGGATATCACGGTAGAGCAGCCGGGAAAAAATTCTTCGTAAGTGAAAAGAATAGAAAACTCAGACTGGCTTTCGCAAAATCCAACATAAATAAGAATTCTGATTACTGGAATGAAGTTATATTTGCTGATGAGAGTAAATTTAATATATTGGTTCTGACGGTAGAATCTTGGTGTGGAGAAAACCTAGGGAAGAATTCCGTAAGCAGAACTTGGTGCCAACAGTAAAACATGGTGGAGGAGGAGTTATGGTATGGGGGTGTATGTCGTCCGCTTGAGTTGGTAATCTTGTTTTTATTGACAGTAAAATGGATCGGTACAAGTATATTGACATTTTAAATCAAAATTTGAAATCTTCAGCACGAAAATTGAACCTTCATAACGATTTTAAATTCTACCAAGACAATGACCCCAAGCACATTGCTTAGAACGTTAGACTCTGGCTGCTGTATAACTATCCTGAAATAATAAAAACACCACCACAATCTCCAGACTTAAATCCCATAGAGAATATTTGGCAAGAATTTTTATTTATCATAAACTGTGTTAACTTCTTTAAATTAACCAAACCAGGATTTTTTCTGTTAGATTTCCTTTTTTAAATTTTTGACATCATTGTAAAAGCCTAAATATGTCAGATCGTTTTAGTAAGACGTATTATTTGTAAAACTAAGTAACAAAATTTTAAATTTATATCAATTTTTAAAATTAGTGAAAAAAAACAAAAAGGGAAAAATTTTTCATTTATACATTATAATTATTTTCCATTCATCTTTTATGACAATTAGTATATTTTTGAATTTTCCTCAACTCTCAAATCTTCTTGTATTTCTAAATATCTATAGATTTTTTACAATTCCGCCCCAATTTTACAGTTTTTACATTAATTATTAGAAGAGTTTGACGTAATTAATCATGCATGTCGCACATTCATTCGCAAATTTAGAATTTTCAGAATTGTAAGCACTACTGTAGATGATTCGTCTTTCTTAGCAAATTGAAAATTTTAAGATTCAATAAATCCAACTCAATCAACCCAATTTTAAGATTCAAAGCAAGGCACTGAAGTTATTTAATATTTAAGAACTCTCGGTTATTTAGAACTCCCGCACATTTGTACCCAAGAAATGATTTCAAAAATGTTTTGCTACATCTATTAAAATTTTTCTATCCCTTGACCAACTAATATGTACTGCATTTTCCCCTCATTTCTTCTTAGGTTACTTGTATCATGAAAAAACACACGTGGGCTATCTATATAAGAGAAGGGATGTTTTCGTGGACGACTTTTATAGGAAATCTGCTCTCATTTACTTTATAAATGAAGAAAATCGCGAAATTTCTCTTGGAACCAACTTGTTCGCTGAGATTTGAAAGCCAGTCGAAAGATCAGTCTTAAGCTATCTTACCGGTGTAACACTAATGGGCTGCAGTATGCATCATGCTTTATGATCTTAGAGCACAAATTACCTTCAGTCCTCGTATATCAACAAAGCCTGGTACCGTTTCTCATAAAAATAAAATTACTAGAAATATTAGTAAAAAGACATGTAAGTATTTTACTTGAGTTTGTATTCAATTAATCACCTTCATGTAACATATAAGGATATAATTTACGTAATGATGCGGTAAATTTTTGAATTTTTGAACACTTTAGGATCCTAAAAAAAGTTAGCAAAAGTTAATGACGGAAACGAGATTTAAATCAACAAAAACTGTTCTACGCCAATGCTGTAATTCGACAAAATGTGTTTCGCTTATATACCAATTTCTGCAAAAGGGTGAAAATTGCAACCAATGCAAAAATTTCTAAATTCACTTTTGCCGCATAAATTTTCCATAAAATGAAAAAGCAACTTTCAATACACATAAATCATTATATGAATGAATGGTAAATCTTTACTGCAGAATACATAAACCTTATTTCCAACATATGTAAAACTTTTCGCCCACAAAATGAGATAAAAGAAGGTAAATGTATATTACGTCAAAAACTTCTTTACTTACATAAATAAAATTAAGTCTAAAATTTTTGCATTATTTAACATCAGTACTACATTTTGCATGTTAATATTAAAATAAAATACCTGACTAAATTACTCCTGAACGATTGTTTACAAGCCTATAATTTGTTTGATCAAGTGTGACTAAGCTGCAAAGTATTAAATAATATATTCTCTTGCAAAATCTTGTGGACTTTGTGATGTTTTGAAAAATCGGAACTGCAAATTATACGTATGATTGCTAAATATTATAATCTTAAGATAATTAATTGAATTAATTTCACAATCATCATAAAGAGAGCCTGAAATGCTCTAACATACGCATTTTCAAAACATAAAGTATAAAAAAAGCACAAATGCAATGGGACTCGAAGACATGAAACAAAGAACACAGTATCTGCAGAACAAAATTAAAAGGAAGAAAAGAGCATAAAATCTGCGAAACACAATAAATTACGGGTGGGAGGGGGGGACATGAAACTATTTTACGAATTATTCTAAGGGTTAAAAATATCACCTACTGCTGAAGTAGAATGTCTTTAAAAACCATTTATGACTTACCTAAGAGATAAAAAGAAAAAAACACAAGTACACTATAAATTCATTAATACAATCGTCCTATAAAAGTAATCGAATATTTAAGAATACTTTTTAAAATCATTATTTATCTCTTACGCTGTTCATCTTTTATATTAAAAAAACATACTGTTGAACATTGAAGAATGAGGGACCATAGAGATAGCTTTAATTAATTCTAAGGGGTGTATCCATAATATTTTTTCCATTTTTTTCTTTCCTTTTTGTTCTGGTGATCTCCTTATCAAGTTTTATGACATTCTGTGAATATCTATAAGGTATTTCTCCCGCCTTCTTAGCATGCCTTTATGTTGTAGTGATCAGTACACACTGTGCGTATTCGAGAGGTCGGTGGTTCGAGTCCCGGTGAGGGTATTGCTCATTTCTCATATCTCCTGCTTTCAGAAAAAAATTATTACCTCTACATATCTACTGAAAAGTTTAAACAGCTTGGTCTAATAAATTGCCTTAATGTCCTCAGACTAAATACTATTATAATCACCACAAGACATAAGTTGGACGCCAGAATGATATCGATGGAAAAGAAACGTAAATTTTTAATTCACTTCCTCAGAATAATGATTTATTAATAATAAGCTACATTCATGAGATGGCTCTACCTAGTATTTAGGACGGTTCAAAACTATTTGTCAAAAATGTAAAGGCAGGTAGAGGCAATAAGCAGATTTCGTAATGTATGTGCGGTAATGCCGCATTAAAGCGCTAGCACGTAAAGCAGTATGAATCACAGGAAACTGAAAAGATAAGTAAAGGAAAAAAATACTAACAGTTTACAATAGATGCTCGAAAGAGCGACCACCAACAGCGATACAAGATTCACAGCGGCGGAGCAGTGATCGACATACATTAGAAAAGACGTCAGGCATGTAGAGCACATGTCCAACAGCAACAGACAAGTGACCAACAAGATTTTCTGCAGATGTGACTGGACTCTGGTACACGAGGTTTTTAATATGACCCCAAAAGAAGAAATCTAAGCAGGTTAAATCAGGAGAACGCGGTGGACAGGGAACTGGTCCGCCCCGTCCTATCCAGTTCTAGTCGTAGACACGTCCAGGTGATTCCTCATGTTCCGGTTGAAGTAAGTTGGGGCTCCATCGTGCTGGAAGAAAGAATAGAGTTCATCCGCGAACAGCTCGAGGAACATCGACTAAAAGTTCAGGTAAGACGTCCTGTAGGAAGATGCTGTACATGTGGCCAGTTAAATGATTGGGTAGAATATACGGTCATATTAAGTTATCGTGCGCAATGCCTGCCCAAACATTAATGGAAAACCTTTCTTGGTAGGCGTGTGTTATTGTGTCATGTTGGTTATCATGAGCGCACAGGTGAGAATGATAAATGTTAAATGTACCCAACTGCGTAAAGGTAGCCTTATCAGTGAATAAAGCATCTGCAGAAGGGAAAATTTGATTGCCTGTCGACTGCTATGGGTACCAACGAGCAAAGTTGAGACGTGGAAGATAATCGTCAGGAGTCATTGCTTGCACTCTCTGTAAATGACACGGATGTATTTCATCTTCATGTAAAGGCCTCAAAACAACTGCATGGCTCACACCCAGAGCACTTCCTACAACTCTCGAGCTTGACAAAGGATTGTACCCTACTGTGTTTAGTATTCTTTCTTCTATTGCAGGAATTCTGAGATATTTTCCAATGCCAGTATAACACCTGAACGCATAAGACGACCCACCAACGCTTAACTCTTGATGAAG